ACAGGCATGGCCCTGTCCTCGTGTAGCTCAAGGTTCGGTGGAGAAAGACAGAATTGGGTCCAAATATTTGATTTATCATGGTTAAATATGTGCCATATTTAAATATCTTAAACGAGGGAAACACGATGGTGTTCTGGGAAATGAAGTACAGTCCACTTGAAACCGTTGCTGAAAAATGATGTATTGTACAATTCAATTAGTCTTTCTGGCTCTATTGAGCAGTGTTTATACTGAGTCAGGGACCTGCTGAATTAGGTTAACAATGCTACATTTTAGTAGGTGAACAGAAGGACAAAGGGCACTGGCCAGTCTCCCAGGCCTGAAAAGGCTTCTCTCTTCAGGTGGTACTTAAGCCTAAAAAGGTTGGGGGTGGGGGGGGGGGAGGGAGTCTTTTACAGAGACAGTAAAAGCAGTGAGACAAATGGGAGAGCAGCTAGCGACATGAGCGTTCATAAGCTGGAATTACTAAAAACAAAAACAGAGCTAGTTTCGATGATGTCTAAGGCACTGCTTCACAAAGTTATTAACCAGTGTTAAGAATACGGAACAAACTGGGACCACGGCTGCCTGGGTAGGTGAACAAACCCTTGCAAGGCTGAGGGAGGTTTCGGCAGCAAGACTGAGCACATGCTCACTTCTGATAATCAACCACTTACACTGGTAAGGGAATTTTTGAAAGAACTACAAAATTCGGTATAAAATGCTATTTTTGCAAAATAGAGTGCTGTATCCCCACTGATTTCCTAAGTTCTAAACCACCCTGCATATTGGTCTAAGGATTCCACTTTCAAACTCAACTGTAATTAGAATGCTTTTTAAAAAAGAACATGTTAAATATATAGTTACTTAGGGAAGGAAACCATAAAGTTTATGTGAGGAGAAGTTTCTTTGCTATTAATAGAAATATTACATAAATTGTCCGTGAACACCAAATATATCCCCACCTAAGAGCTACTGTCCTATTTCTTGCCAACCAAATTACGAAAACCATGAGAAGCCTGAGCGTTGTTTTGGATGGATATAAAAACTCAGCTCACAGAGGCAGATAGATGGACCCAATACGTTTTTAAAAAATGGTTTTGGTTGGTATTGTCTTTAGTGATCCCACTCCATTCACATTAGAAACAACTTTTATAGGGTTAATAAGTTCATTTTTCAAACCTACTGACTTTTTAATCTTTTACTAAATAATATTTAATGTTTACTAATATTAACATAATTTCTTTCCAGAGCTTTTGAAGCTTACGAACAGACTAATTTAAGCTAGACGAACTCAAGTCAGTGACTGTGATTTTGTTGCAGTTTGTGAACTGGTTCTCCCTTCACAGTGCTGTCGTCTACACGATTCAAGAGCTGAGGAGGAGGACGAAGTCGAGGTAGAATGGGTTCTCCTCCACACCTCACACATCAAAGTGTATTTATAAACATATTGGTTATGTGAGCAGGAAGCATCATTGGTATAAATTTAAAAGCCTTTTGTTAAGCAGGTGGCAGCTACCTATTAATGTTCTCGAATGTTGTTCAGGTTTACGTAATTCTGAGAAAGAGGTTCTGGAATGGTGTCCTGGTATGTTCCCCCACAAAAATAGCCCCGGGTAGTAGAGCGATGGAGCAAAGGGAATGTTTAACGATAGATAGCAATTTGGAGGTGATGTGGTGGAGGTGGGGGTTGTGAGGACTTCAGTTTTTGTTAAGGGAGGAAAATGGATTGATGAGAACACACTTTTAGAGTAACAACTGGTAAACACAACCTAGTCCAGTTTTTCTGTGTTCCAAAGAATACTAGTCCCACAACAATAGTGTTCTGAGGTCCAACAGGAAAAATGCCCCACACTACCTTCTTCACTTGGTGATTCAAAGGGTAGCATGTTAGCCTATGAAAGCTTTCGGATATCGTGTCTGCTTAACGTGCTCAGGCCAGCAATCTCCCAAACCTATTTGACTATAGACAAGGCAGCTTTTTAATGTTGTGCAGGCCTTGTGCAGAGGGCGGTGGGAGATGAAATGCAGGCTGGGCCCTGCTTCCCCACCAGAGGAAGGGGCCTCTTTCTCAAATTCCTTCCATCTTGCCACGCTGTGAGCCCCCAGGGCTGCGTTCTCCTGAGGGGCCCTGTTCCAGCTGTAGCGTTGGCCTAGCTGTGGCCCTCCTATAGAACCCTCTTTTTGAGTAACACCTATTAACAAGCACAGAACTTGTTAATGCTCCATGGAACATATTTTGAGAAATGCTGAATTAATCCATTACCTATCCTTAGTAGGGAAAAAAAAAACTGAATCCAGAGACCTTAAGTGACTTATCTGTAGTCATTTTGTGGCAGAACT